TTGAGAATATTTTGTTTTTGGTGTATTTGGTTTTGTTTTTAGTGCATTTTGTTTTGTTTTTAGTGTATTTTGTTTGGAAGTCGGTTTTGTTCTTTTAAAAAGTTTATTTATATCATTTTTTAATTTCACACGGGCGAAGTCGCCATATGTAATAAACTCAAAAATTACTGGATCAATAGAAAGCTGCAACATCACTAACTAAAATATTTTTTAATAATGTTATATTCAGCTATTTGAGTAAAAAGAAACAATACTGGGAGAATAATCAACTTAAGTTGCAAGGACCCAAAAGCTGCCCAACGTTCATAAGAATCCCCAAATCATTGGCCTATTGGCTCAATAACCAAGCCTCAATTCGAAAGTGTCCATCAATCAACTAATTATAAAAATCTACTAAACTAGTTTAGAGAAAAATACGTGAAATTTTGATTTTAGTGAGTTGGTAACATTTTTTTTTTTAAATTAAGGGTCAACGTTACGGATTTACTAACGAATATTCGTTTTAACTAGCCTACATTAGTAACCAAAAAACATCTATACCGTTAATCATGATTCCTCGAAGTACTAACTACTCGTGTAGGATTCATTTATGGTCCAGACTTCTTAGAACACGCGTACCATTTCCGAGTTTTTTAATAGGTTTTCTCTGTATTACAATACGTGGTTTGTAGCACGTAGTCTATTTAGATTTCAGATATACAAGTAGAGCTTAAAGTCAACAATATTTGCCATATACGGCCAATCGTGTACACAGATTCTATCAAATCTAAAAGCTTACAATATCGTACCTATAATCAGTTATTGAGGTCAAAACAATTCATGGTACTGGTAAATATCAAAGCACTTGAGAAATCCATTAAAAATGACGTTATGAAAATACAAAACAACCATTTAACAATTTGAGTCGCTTTAACATAATGACAGATATTCAGTGCAGTGAGTAATGCATAATGACCCAATACTTTAATGACGTCATTGCCTGGCCCAGTGAGTGGCACCGTGACGTCAAGATGTACGATAAGATTTCCTCTTGTGTATTCTAGCAACTAGTTAGGTGTGTATTAAATATCGCGTCGATTTCTTATGATATAAGATATACAGTAAAACTGACGGAAATAAATTCATCAGCTTAGTTCCTAGATGACCTAAAGTATACAATGCGTCATTGTTATGATCTTTACACACTAATTTGAGGATTTTTATAAAAAGCCGGTTTCCCAGCTACTTTTCTTCAAACTACGTAAATTGAGATTTACTCCATGAAACTTTATTGAACATCACACTTATGAATCACTAGAAGTACTAGTAAAAATAAGAGTAAATTGTAATTCTAAAATAGACTTATTTTATAGCCGTTATTACGTTTATTCAAATTGACAAAATTCCCGTTATGATTACATGGTTGTTCTAGTTTTTATTGTAGTCAAGGACACGAAACTGAGGTGGTTGACCGATCGACCTATTTGTGGCAGTTACTCACTTTATTAATTGTTTATTTAGATAGCAATCTTGCTAGATGTGAAATTATGTGATCGTTGACTAATAAAACATATAAAATGTTTATCAGACATACTAATTTCCTTTGTTATATACTACATATTTGTACTAATTCCTACACAAACAGGTCTGCACTTCGTTGATATAGTGAGTAAGACTGAACAGTATGTTTTTTGTTTCAGCGGAAGTATGCCGAATGCAAACAGTTGTTTTACATTATTTATGTCAGGAAACGGTATATTACTGATTTTAGCTCATTACTCACACGTGTCTATGGTGTGTTTCATACTGCAGTACAAATCATACTAATATTATAAATGCGACAGTTTAGATAGATACTTTATCAAGCTCTTGACTTGACCACCACTATGTGACCCCCCCCCCCCATCCCTGCGCTAAAGCTGGATCCGCCCTTGATTATATCTAAGTCTCTTTAAGTAACTAAGTTAGTGAAAGACAGTTAATGACGTAGATACTCACATGTACTCTCAAGTCGGAACAAATTGAAGTTCCTTAACAGGTAGTCGTGCAGGGTAAGAAACTGCAAGTTCAACTTCGGCAGCGCGAGGCAGTTCTCTCCGCTGAATATCTCCGTAGGCACTACATTCTCGTCCCATATAACGTCTTCCGTGGGATAAAGAGGCATCGAGTTGAGTTCCTCCAGTTGTGATATACGTCGCTCATGTCGAGATATCTGTGTAAAAACATTTGAACGAAATTTAATTTGGCCCAAGAACCATAAGCATTCTTCCGCCTGACGCGCGAACTTAAACACTGGGTTAACCCTTAAATGCATGATGTACATTTATACATATTTATACATCAGTCTTATCTTCCATAACGAATGGATTATTTAAAAAAAATGTTTTTTTTTTATTTTTCACTTGTCTATGTGCAATTTACTACCCGTTTCAATTAAGGGTTTTAAAAAGAAAAAATCATGCATTTAAGGGTAAATACGTAAAAAAAAATCCCTTACTGGTCTGTTTCCTACATGTAATATGAAAAGCAACGGTATTCGCTGGTCTGATTTTAAAAATACTTTAAAAATGTGTAACAATCAACAAGCGCCTGTTGAATTTTTAACACGAAATAGAAAGTGGAATACCGAGAAGGAGAACAATAAGCATCCGGTAAAAAGCATTTAAGATGTCCCAAAATCGCTTAGTCATTTCAAAAGAATATCTACATCTTATTTCTTATTCTAAAACATGAATATATTTATATCGATTTATATTTATAATCACGTAAATTTAATTTCGAAATAGCAATACAATGAGAGTTATTTTATAAAAAAACATTGTAAATAAGCTAATTGTGCTTACCAATAATTCTTTAAGGAACTCCTTGTCCAGTCTATGCCAGGGTGCATCATCTTCTTTACCTTCCGGCGGCACCAGGTTCAAGTAAGTAGCGATTGCACGTAACGCCTTATCACTGTGGAAATAGTAATAAAATATTAAACATATTACTTTCCACTATCAAAATACTTGTGTAAAACATTACGTTTAATAAATAAAAATAGCAAATCTGTGGTTTTTGCGGTTACTAGCATTACTGACCTACCCTACATTTATTTTCATATACCTTACATTTACTGACTCACAAACCTTTTGTTATAGTTTTTTTTTACAGTTGACTTTTAACTTTGTACCAAGGTAATTAGACTAGATTAGATTGAACAATTCAGGCAAAAGTGAGTGTGTTAAAATCTGACGCGTTAACTTATTTATGACAACTAGCTATCGCCTGCGACTCCGTCCGCGTAGAATTTAAAAAAAAAACACAGTGAGTAGCCTCTGTGTTCTTCCAGACTATCATGTACGTTTCCAAATTTTATCGAGGTCCGTTCAGCCGTTTAGACTACAAACTATCATAACAAACATCCTTCCATCCATCTAAACTTCCGAATTTATAACATAGAGAATAAAATATTACTAAGAAGTAAGAAGTAAGTTTTTATGTTTTTCGAATGTAATAAAGAATCACAAAAAAATATTATCTGTACCTCTTTTTATAAACATGTAATAGGTTATAGGTATTAAACATTAGATATATTTAGATTTTTAGATTTACTTAGATCCATACAAGTGGAAGGAATAAGTAAAATATTCTACAGGGGAAAGTATTGCACACAGGTCGAGCTTAGTGTTTGGCAAATATAAAATGTACTCAGTGTTATGGAAATTTACATGGACCAAGCCGCACAGGAACAGCTAGTATCTCCATAAGGGAAGGGCCAAGGTTGAACATAAGGTATGCGCCTTAGACCGTAGGGACCGAGTCTTGCGGTTAGAACTGGTCTGGACCGGCACACTCCGTCCATCGACCTCTCGCACGGGAATACATCAAGATTTAATTTGTACTAATGAATGTTGATCAAACAAATTAACTGCAACGAATAAGTCGTACAAATCGAGTTAAAGATTCAAATATATTGAAGAAAAATTGTAAGGGTTTAAAAATCTAGACTTTTCTAAATCGGGAATAACGAAATAGGATGCAAACAAAAGTTTTTTTGTTTAATAAAGATTTCAAACTTAATAATATGTTAAGAGGTTGTAAATATAATCACAGTAAAAAATTACCAAAAACAATGTTTATTCAAAAATGTCAGTAGAGAAAAACATCTGTTTAATAGGTACTCAAATGTAAACTCACCTTAAATTACCAAAATGTTTTTGCAGAGATTCTCTTGTGTCTACACTGGCAACATTTGCTAAGGAGAAGAGTCGCAGGTCGGGGAACTTCGAAAACGCCGCTTTCTGTCAATAAAATCAATAAAATACGATTTAATATTTTAAAAACTTTACCTAGAGTTCAGATTCGAATATTTTATACACATCAAATTAAATTACTAATTAAGCAGTGCCATCTAGTGCCAGTGAGTGAAACCAAAACAGCTACCAGTTACATTTTTGTGAATCAACAACCAAATGTTATTTATTATTCCATGTTTCGGTTGTGGAACCTCACATCTAAACTGATATATTTCCATAAGAGTATTGAGATATAATAAATGTTAATACCATGTATTTTAAATATTGGTTTAATAATTTTATCATCAGTGACAACGTTAATATCTTTTGTTACAAGATGGCATCATTTTAAGGGTAACAAGTCTGTTCCATAATCCGGACCAACCTGTAATGATGTGATCCTGGAGTAGTGCTGCAAGGTCATGTCCCGGTCTGTCATCGGGTCTCCAGTTTCATCGCTGATCTCGAAGCGGGCGTAGAACTTCAGCATTTGGAGAAGCTGGAAAGAAAGATTTATTCCATTATCATAATTTAAAAATCATTATTGTTAAACAAGCCTTGATTACTATGTTTGATTTACGAATATAAAAAGGCCAATAATATGGTCTGGTCTATACTCATTGTATATTATGTTGGAAGACCACCCAGATGTGCGGACAATGTGGTCACGGTCAGGCAGGTCATTGAATCGCCTAATATGGGCATGTCTTAAAACTTGATAGTAAGCAGAGTTTTTATTTATATTCGCATGAATAAACATTCGCGCGTGTTTAAGTTTAAACGGTGTTATCAGCGTACGGAATTTTAACACTGTTTAGGGAAATATTCTACTTTAAAAAATACATTTAGACAAGAGAGTTTTTCGTAATAAATGTGTGATGGTAAAATTTTTGTTTTAATTTTATTAGGAAATTACAATAAGATGTGAATGATTAAACGAAGCTTTAAACCGATTAGACATTTTTTAAATAAATCGTAAAATATGTCTCATAATGTAACAAAGGTGGGGTTCAACGTGACTGCAGTCGAAGTACCGTTATCAATATATAGAAAACAGTTACACGGTTCTTGTTAACGGGATATTATCTATAACAACCTGGAATAGGAATTATACATACTAGCAAACTTCGAACACTCGACTCAAACATATGAGTATACAATCAATAATATTGGAGTGCAATGCAAAACATACAAAATGTTATATAAAAATATAAACATGATATATTTATGTTGCAGATAACGGAAAGCAGATTCTTTAAATTGCTATCAGTTTGTACGAAAATCTACAATTATTCCGGGTAATATTCGGGGTTTTTCTTTTTAACTGCACTTTGAAGTAGTCTCGAGAGACCGCCAGTATTTAATAATTTAAATTACCACAAAAGTTAAGACATTTCTTTTTACTCTTTAATCCGTCTAGCAGGTATCATCCTATGACCACTTCTTTACTTTAGTCATGGTTGGATCGTGGTCAACCGCTGGTTTATCAATACTTAATATTATATTAAGGTAGGGTTTGCATTTTTGTATATAGAATAACTCAAAAACTACTAGGCCGATTTTAAAAAGTCTTTCACCGTTAGAAAGGTAATTTATCTGTAATATAGGCTATGTTTTAATTCCACGCGGGCGAATTCGCGAGCAACAGCTAGTAAATGATATAAAATCAACTTACGTGACTTCAATTTTCTGAAAGTAGCGGCGAGAATAAACGCTAAAATTGACAACACTGATAGTACCGTACTGTTTCGTATCAAAAAGTCAGTAGTATAAGCAACACTAGGAAGTGTGCGCGCGCCGGTTCATTAGTTACCGGCAATTCGTTCGAATTACGTAGAAAATTATTTTTTTAGTCAAAATAATGCACAAACAATTAAAAATAAACAAAATGTCAGGCTTGATAATAGTACTCGTAATACTATGTGCAGTTTGTGTTGAATCTCAAAGCGTGTTTTGTTGTAAACCGGGCTATTTTATGTATAAGGGCAGAAACAGAACTAACACGTGCTGGGATCCTATATCAAATACTAATGCTTCAGTGCAAATAACTTGTGAAAAAAATGTGCTGTTAATTGAAGACGATATGTATAAGTTTAGTGTGAACGATGAGAAATATTTGGTTATCAGTATGCCAAACTTTCAATCAGCATTGGAGCCTCAAACGTAAGGGTTTTGTCTTCATTTTAGAGTTTACGTTTTTATCGCTTGAATTACATTAAGAAAAATAAAGACTTTTAAAAACTTTGTCCTCGTTCTTAACAATCCAAAATAGATTATATACATCTCTATCAAAATGCTATTTTTGGCCTAATTTTACAAACTTGTTACGATATTAAACGAGTTTTCCCGCGACTCCGTCCACGTGAAATTAAAAAATAATAATAAAAAAATTAAAATAATATGGTCTTTGATACTCACACGCACACACACAGATAAATTACCGTACTTTGGTGAAAGAATTTTTAAATTCGGCCAGGAATTTTTAAGGCTATTCATTACAATCAAACAAACAAAGTTTTCCTCCTTATAATATTAGTATAGATATTTGAATTTTCAATGTTACACTAGATTTTCCAATTAGAAATTTATTTATCTAATAACATATGTATGTTGGCATTATACCGCGTTTCCATTGCCGATATGCCCGTACAAAACAAATACATTATTATCTTTTAAAAACGAACAATACATTAGCGGTATTCCATCATTTGGAGTACACGTTCACACTAACTGACGCTACGCTGCTGAAACGTTCGCGGGTTTTTTGTGTATAAATAAGTGGTTGTATAAACATCGTTTCTAGCTAAAATGACTGTTTACTTACAAACTGATTGGATAAATAAACGTATTTCCAAAGAAGATGGATGTTAACACGTTCTGTGCCGATTTACCGCATACTTCTGTACTAATTCGAACTCGCAATATGGTGGCACTGCGTGTGTTAACAGAAACTGTTAAAATATAATGTAAAATATATAAAATAGTTAAATTATATAAAAATAGTAAATAAATAAAAACTACCTTAGTAAATAAATAAAAATCAGTTAATAATAGTAAATAAGTTACCAAAAATAGTGGAAGATAGAAATAATACAAATATGTGATGCCTGTGGCAATACCACGTTTCCTCGTCGTTGTTCGTCGCCCTTTAGTTTAATCTAAAGCCCAAAGCAACATTATCAACAACAGGAACTAATATTATATGAGAATATTAAAAAAATCGTTAAAGATTTTAAAAAACAAATTATGGCTTAATTGGCCACTTTTAAGTATATAATGTATAACTTTTAAGGGAAACATTTAACTTAAGATGACAACATTTAAAATAAAACAACACATGAATAAGGAAAACATTTAACTTGTCTGAATCACATATTACTTATTTACATTCAGTAAGAAGTTAGTTCTATAAGCGACTAGTACATAAATCATGTCTAAATCTGTATTTTTAGTTACCATTTTTAACGTAATAAGTGCAGTGCGTCTATATGGGTTACCACGTGACTGTTGTGACCTTGGCCAGTTTGTTGTAACAACAAATAACTCGAAAATGTGCTGGAATCCTGCGTCAGAGGAGATAACTCGAACACACCTCAACAATTGTTTAGGAAGTGTAATTCTAGTTAACAAAATAAACATTATTGAAAATACACAGGCAATAATAGACGTGGATAATATAGAAGTTGAAATAGGTACTAACAGGTAAGGATAGCTTCTAGAAGCGACATTACTGATACTGGGTCTTATGTCTTGAAAATGTGTAAAAGAATGTTATAATTAGATAAATTACAAACAAGGGAGTCTAAAAATCATCCCTTAAAGGACCAAAATATTATTTTCTTCATATTATATTATTTAGATTTGATAACTCCCAAACATTTAAAAATTAAATTCAATTAGAAACGTAACTACAAAGAATTATGTTTATGTAAATTGCATTCAGGGAGAAAATTATTATATTTATACATTTAATTTACTCATAATTTTTATTAATATGGTATATACATGTTCTTCCATAATAACATATTAATAATCAACAACGAAAACAGGTAAAGAAAATGTGATCGATTGTAACAATTTAAGAAGTACAGAATTATATAATTTTGCAATATCTACTCCTGCACCCACAAATTCTGCACAAATTCACATAATTAAAGTTTAAGAAACTGACTACAAATTGTTTTAAGTCTCAATCTGCTTATCTTACTTCTAAATTATTAATATTATAAATGCGAAAGTTTAGATGGATGGATGTTTGTTAGAGTTTGTAGCCTAAACGGCTGAGTTATATTTGGTATAGATGTGGAGGATAGTGTGGAAGAACACATAGTCTACGCGGGCGGAGTCGCGGGAGAAAGGTAGTTTTCTATATATCATTTAAAATTAATGACGTTAAAAACATATCTATCGCGTTTTCAGTCTGTAAAACAAATTTCAAACAGTTTACACATTACAAAAAGATCAAAGTAGGAAATAGCCACTTTTAAATAACTCACGCAGAGCTGTTAAAAATTACGCCTACAGTAAATCTCGCCGACTACAAAATCCAAAAAACAACATAAACCTAGATCTAAGTGGAATGTAAACATAAATCAAACCAATAAAAACAAGATATTTAATTACACAATCTTCCTTACTACTTTACAACTTATACAAAAACAACTACAAAGGCACCGATTTAATGTAATAAACATTACATGTCGATATCTATTCTATTTCCATATAAAGCGTAGAATGAAATAAGAAAAAAACATTCGCTATTGTTGTTCGAAAAAGACATCCTCCTTGGAAAATCCCACTCTATATGGGATTAGCAACTTCGAAAAAGAGTTTCGAAACTAAAGGGATTTACAAATTCTAGAACGAAGCGATCTTCAGAAAGAAGAAACACAAATATGTTTTAACGCATATGGCGTAACTTTTTGAAATCGCCGAATTTTTAAATGAATTGAATTCCAAACAACCATTACATTCGTTTACAAAATTATAATTGGTGTATTTCCATTATTCAAGAGTCTTGGTTTAACTTGGTTGGAATGCAATGTTTTAAATTCAACATATGCTACAAGGTAACATACCGGTACAAAAGGCTTCTGCGGGTATTGCATAACAAAAGGAATCAAATTCCTTTGCGAAGTTCAAATTGACGGGATAATAACAATAATTAAAACTATTGGTAAAAAGTTAACAACATATATACGAAGTGACATTTATCTAATGTCCACATTAATTGCTACTTTTTATCATTTCCGAGTTTACCGTTAATTCTTTCTACAGTAATGATAATAAAAAAACAAAACCGACTTCTAAACAAAATACACGAAAAACAAAACAAAATGCACTAAAAACAAAACAAAATACACTAAAAACAAAATATTCTCAAAAAAAACAGTACACTAAAAAGTAACAAAATAATTCCTTGAAAATAGTAAACCTACCTTATTGCAAGTGTTATGTCTATATTGTACAATAATTTTTACTTTGATGTCGGTGTCAGCCAAGGTATGCAGTGATATTTCTACGTAAGGGTTTCCATATTTTTACCATAACAATTGACAATTG